AAAAGATGATAAATCCTGGGGATAAATCTTATAACACAGAGACTAATTGATATTAATGTGCATAAAAACATAATCAAACTTTTTCCACATAAACACGCCCACAACAAAGTTCTGACCAATCACACAACAGTTGATGCACCCCTGCAAGAAAAAGCTCCGCCCGAGCCTTGCGCACAGAACAGGATCKCGGAACTAATGAGAAATCAAAATCACATAATTTTGACATGAAAAACCTAATATTCATAACAAAAATAAATGACCTGTAACACCTCCTCTCTGCAGGAGCTTCCCGGCGTCCTGCAGAGCCCCGCTTCCACCTCGATCTGGACAGGACAGAGCCCTGGTCCTTGTCCTCCTCCTCCCAGAGYCCGTCCCCCTTCTTGCCCGAAGCTTCGGGTCACGGCAGCCGCACCTCCACCCCAGAGAGGAGGGGCTCACCTCTGCCAAACAGCAGCGAGACCCTCGGAGCGTCACTGGAAGACGACGACGGAGGTCTGAGGCAGAGGGCGAGGGGTGAGCGGGCGCCGTCCGACGACCTCAGCAGCTCTCCACGCCGAGGCTTCCACCAGTACTTGTCTCGTTTCGATGACGCCATGAAACTCCGCAGCCAGCTGGCCAGCGAGAAGCCGGCTCAAGATGCGGGGTCCGACTCAGAGGAGCTGGATCCCTTCAGGATCTTCAGGCTTGTTGGCAGCGTCCTTCTGGCCATATTCGTCAGAGTTTTTGTCTGCAAATATCTGGTAAGTCTACCTGTAAACATGACTCTGCAGATCCCTCTCTGTGTCTTTTTTATACAAATCATAAGACAAAATGTAATACAAAACTTTTTTGTGTTTATGTTTGTTTTTATTTCATTTTCTAGTCAATATTCGCTCCATTTTTGACCCTTGAACTGGCCTACATGGGATTGTCTAAATACTTTCCAAAGGTGAGGTTGCACTCAGTGTCAACATTTTAATGTCTGTTAGCTGCAGATAAAGTGAAATGGACGTACAGTCTATCAAGATGAATTAGGATCGTAAAGTTTATTTAAAAAAATATTTTTGTAACTAAAATATATCCATCCATCCATCCATTTTCTGTACACGCTTCTTCCTTTTCAGGGTCGCGTGGGTCACTGGTGCCCATATCCAGCAGTCACAGTGCGAGGG